TTAAAGTCTAAATTCTGCTTTTTTAAATAAGTTTCAGCTTCAGAAACAAAACAATTCCGGAACCAGTCACAAAAAATCTGCGAATAAAGAAATTTATAGCCACGAATATGGGAATTGGTTCGCATTATTTTAATCCGCGAATAGTGAAACCGCGAATAAAGGACGCTCGAATAAGGAGCTTTTACTGTATTATATTTTATAAGAGGAAAAGAGAGGGGGGAAGATATATATTAAAAAAATATCAATATATATTGAATACAGTTGGCAAAAATTTGATATTATATTATATTTTCTTTCTCCTTAATCGTTTAGGCCACGGTATAAAAGGGTTCAAAGACCCGATATGTGAAGCAGTGAGCAGTTTATTGTCTATTCTGCCAACTAATTAATCTATTTTCTATTTCTATTCCATCTATAGCATACCAACAAAGGTATTAATCAGATTTGTCTGCTTTACAACAACAGCAATACCTTACCCTATTCACGCCTTTGAATTTTGACTTTTGCCCGTAATTTAAAGAGCAAATTTTCCATTCATTTAATTCATAAAATTTAATTCAATTTCCGTTAACCTCTGCTATCGAATTACAAAGGCTTACCTCATATTTAAAATTTATTAAAGAATTTTAAGTGATATTATTGTAATCATTAGCGCAATTTTGACGGAATATTTACATATATCCCCATATCGCATTATGATTAAAATCTTGAAATTGCCACACCCCGTTTATTAATGATCATATAAATTAAACGATTTTAAAAAGGAAATAAGAAGCGTTTTTCATTTCTCTTGCAATCAAAGATCGTTCGCAAAATTCGAAGCAAACCAACGTTTTGACATCAATGCTTCAAAGTTATATAAATATTCGATTATATATATATTTTTCGATGATTTATTCACTTATATGAATTTCATAAATTTCAATAAAATGCATATTCATAAGCATATTTCAACTTCGTTTCCCTTCCCTAAGAATTTTCTTTCGATTATTAAGTATTGTAGCCATTTAGATCAGTAAATGCTTTTTAAGTGAAAAAATAATCAAAATACATGCAAGCACCTATTATACGCTTTTAATGTAAGAAAGTTGTATTCGCATTAGAACGAATCTTGGATACCCACCATTTCTTCGCATACTACTTCATATCTCTTACTCTCAAATGGCAATCGCTTACATTAAACTTTGGATGTGTATTCACGTACGCTTCCTTCGATTAGCATTTCCCTTACTTCACTTGAATATTTTTTTTTTAATTTACTTTCTTCTCTCACTCTCTTTTCCTTATTCTTTGTTCCAAATGAATAAAACAGGAAAGGAAATCGTTCCTAAAGCGTTTATAAAACCTTTCAATTAAATTTAAATCGTGTTCGGATGCAGAAATTACAAATTTTAGTAAAATTTTTAACGAACACTTATTAACAATTATTGATCAATGTCAGACAGTTCATAAAGAATTATTCTGCAAGCAACAAATGGTAAGAAATCATTTGTATGGCGCTCTATCATCATTTAAATTTCTTGGGTCAGTTTTACTAGCGAGTTATGTTAAAAGAAAATATCTGTTGTACCGTTTTTTTTTTTTTTAGTTTTTATTTTTACAAAATGATACTTTTTCTTATTAAATAGTTGCCAATTGTACCAACCATACGCACTTTAAACAAAGAAAAGTTAAAACAGATGATATTGGATTAGTTGCTCACTAGGCTGTTCACTTATTGGCCCGGTCGGCGTAGACTTTTTATGTATAATACAGTATGTTGAATGAAGTAACTAGCACCAGGGCCAGTTTAGAGAATTAATTAAAACATACTTGTAACTTGTCTTTAATTTTTAAATTGTTAAGTTGTTTTTAATTTTTAAATATTACGGTCGCAGTTGGAGAGTTTTTAGCAAACAGTCTGGATCTGAGTCAATCAGTCCTCTACTCGACTAAAGCTTTTAGGAATGCACGTGAATTCTTAGTAGACCAGCTAAGCTTTGATTTAAGAGGAGTGAGCTGATTCATTGCCCGATCTCCCACATTACATGTTAGACTTAAAAAGCCCAACAAAAATACCTATTTCGGTCTAAATGAGAACTTTGAATACAATCTGATCTGAATTTCGACTTTGTTGCACCAACCCTAACGACATTTTCAGCATTCTATCTTTCATAATGTATGGGCAATAAGCAAAAACGCACATTTTTTTGGTTAGAGAAACGGGGTTGCGTTCAGTTTACGCTTTGTTGCTGGCGTGCGCTCCGACCAATTTGGCCCCATTCTCAATATCAACCTGCATGCAGGTTTCTACGAAATTTAAAGCCCATATTTTTTTGTTTGCGGTTAGATGAATGGGAAAAACACACACTACACAGACATTCAGGCGGGCAAACATGACTTCATTGATCTAGATTCGATCGATTGAATACTGCAAAAAGTATGGCAAAATGAGTATAACTCCATCCTAAACTAACTGTTTAGTTTCTTTTAGTTACTGTTAACTAGCGGGGATACGCGCTCTGAACAAGAAAGTAATCAAAAGGCAAAAGAGAAAATTATTACGTTAGAGTTTGAATTTAATTTATATTTACAGCTACGAGAATTAAGTTAACAAAGTTAGCGTACGTTATGGTGCACCGAGCGACGTATTTACCGGGGATGGTAGATCAGGGCACGCGGCTGCGTATGATTTCGAATCACGTTGAGACCTCTTCCGCGTACGTTTCGGCGATTTTTCATAATCCATTTCATTATAAGTCTGTTCCGAAGCTCGCCAAACCAAATCTTGACGTTGTACTACGACGGGATAACGCTGCTCGAATTGTGTGTCCGGCGGCAATAGAAGTTGCCATTTTTTGTCGGAATTTAAATACGCTACCGATTTCAAGATCTCAGTAGCTTCCTCCGGTGGTAGCTGCGTATCAAATATAATTTTTTGTCGATCGAGAAAATTTGCACGGGAAAAACGAAATAGCTGAGGGTGAAAATGAGAGCCGTTTGAAAGATCTTGTCTATTATTCGAAAATAAATTTTCCTCTTACCACGTAATCTCGTGCCCTTACCATCAGTTCAGATTTAACACCATTAGCATTTGAAAAGGTATCACTGGGATACAAATCTTCCGATTGAGGAACCCAGTTACCATGTATTGGAATGCCAACTTGTGGTAGAGTTTTCACCAACTTTTCACTAGTGATTTTCGGATCTACACTATCTTGAAAAATTTTCAAGATTTCGTCAAAAGACAACATGCGACCATCTTTCAGTAATATTTTCAATTGCTCCAACAAAGGTAGTGATTTTAAGCGAACCTTGCTGAATACACGGGATGGTAATACTGCATCTATATTTTGATTTCGTACTTCGTTCGGCAATAATTTTGCAAGATAAGCTTTTGGGTCTAATGCGAAAGCTAGACTACTTTGACGATTGGTGGTAAATAGTTTTTGACGCTCCAATTCGGATGTAGACGAGTTGCGTGGATGCCAGTACGTTTCACACCATGGTTCTTCGTCACTTTTTTTCATTAAATTATGAAAACCCTGTCGTTCTTTGGCCTTTTTCGCACTAGTTCTTGCAAACTTCACTGTTACTTGCTGTAATTCTTCGTCGTCATCCTCTTCGTTCAAAGTCTTTTGTTCGGCTTTATTGCGTTTGTCTTCTTTATCGAAATACGAAAAGGATGGTCTTAATTGTACGATACCGGTCAAAGGTGACAAATGTATTTCTTTGTCGGCATAAACGCCCACTACATATTTAGTGACATCATCTAAAGGACGAGAGCTAAGAAATGCCTGCTTATCCATAATACCACGTTTAAAAGAAGGCCTTTCGCCTTTGGCTTGATTTTTCCCATCGGCAGCTAAAGCTAATTGCTCACCTTTAAATTGATCGTAAAAACGCGATTCCGTATCAAGCGAAAAATCCACTTTTACTTCTTGATTGATAGGCTTAATGCAACAATTGGACACCGAAACATTCTCAAAATTATACGTTTGAGACTTTGTAGGATATTGAAAGATGTATAAGTTATCTTGCAAATTTTTGGACAAAAAGACCGGAATCTAAAATAGAAGTAAAAGTTAGCATTAAACAAATATAAAAATCCAAGCGAAAACGCACTGATTACCTCCTCCAATACGGTGTCTTCATCATCATCAAAACAAGCCATCGTTTGTACAAATCTTTTTATTTCTTTTTGTTTGTTTATCTAAAAGAGCACAGAGTTGCTTTCAATAAATTGCAATGCTTCGAACGAAAATATCACTACATCTGCGTCCCATTCTGCTAGTGTGAGAAATTTGGGATTTTTGCTTATCTTCTGGTTTTTAACAAAAATCGATGAGAAAGCATGCCAATTGAATTTGTATGAAAAACACAAATAAAATATGAAGAGAGAAAGCATGCCAGTTGAATTTGTATGAAAAAGTGATGAGCTTTTATTATTTATTGAAACCTTCCTATTATAGCCTTCCATCTCTCTCTTGCTTTATAGTCTCCCTAAGCAAATGCAACAATAAACAAAACATAACACGACCATACGTTGATAATAGAGTTGATAGTAGAGTTACTTGCAATAAATGGCAATGCTTTGTCGTTTTTTAGCTCCTATTAAATATAAAAAGCAACATGGATTCTCTGGTAAACAAGAAAGTCTATAGGTAAAAACAAACAATCTAAAGCCGTTATTTTCATGGTACAGTGCCATGAAATAAAGCCAATATGGAAAAGTAAAAGTAAGTGAAAATTTTCCAATAATCTCCAAAATACTTAATACACAATATCTGCAAAATTCTGGAGAAACAGCTGTATTTAATCCGTTCATTAATCAAATACATACCGACTTTTGTCATGTCTTAATTTTTATAGAATCTTTTTTTTTGATTCAAATGGAAAGCTTTTTTTCAGTCATCTTTTTAGATGTTTCGCCAAGTACGCCTTTAGAAATTGTACATTCTCCAAATTTCCATTAACGCTATAAATGTCCAGTGTGAAGCCAAATTCATGAAAAAATGAAAAATACTTAAAAATTGCCGAATGCATTGTTTTTCATCTATTATTTAAATAATCATGAGCGATACGTCGTATTAGCTTTCATAATTGCATCAGCTGATTATTTTATTAAAGTCCAAAGAAAAAAAAAAAAACAAAATAGCGTATCGCCGCAAATAGTGTTTCATAAAATTATTTTCTACTTCATTTTTTCGAAAACGAAGAAAAGGAAAATGTCCAAAAACGCACCTAGTTTCTTCAAACGTTATTTGGTGACAATTGTAATGGTTCCTGCAATTGTCGGTCTTCACTTTGGATGGAGTTTAATGCAGAAAAATCGTTCATTAGTACGTGAAGATGAAGAAATTGAATTGCCGGTCATAATAGTAAAAGCCATTTAATAAAATTCTCAATATTTTAATGCACAAATTAATTCATAATTTATTTAGCTTACCAAATATATCTGGAGAAAATTAAGCGATAGTGTTGGCAATTCATCATCACCACAGCAGACACAGTCGAGCACTAGAACTGCAGCTGTGGAAAAACCTTAAAAAAAAAAAAAATTTATAATTTTTTTTTGGGTTTTCTTTCGAAATGAATAAAACATTTCACAAATCTGCAACTCGTGTTTCTAAAAAAAAAACATATTCAAAAAAATGTTCCGAAAATAATTTTAATAATGACGATATTAATTTATTTATTATAATTTAATATACATTTTCGAATAGATAAATTCTAAAATATAATGTTGAAGATAATAATTAAAAATAAATTTAATTGTGGTACATAAAGAATTAAGCGACAAATTAGGCTGTAAATAAAAATATACAATCGCTCTGCATCCATAAATTATTTAAATGAAAAGTGGTATTCTTATATAATTTTTGCTTATAAGCTACTAATCTCTCTGTGAAGCTCATTAGTGCGTACAGAGATTTTATAAAGTTATAGATGGAATCGATTATTTACAAAAGTCTCTTAAATATATTTTCTACTGAGCTAGATGAGAGTTTACACTAAGATTATCTAACTGCGCGTTGAAGAGTACATCATTAATTAATTTTTCCGCTATTATACGTTGGTGCGCGCTCATTATACGTAATTTGCTGGCCACATTAATTCCAATGCCATCGTATTCATCGTTGGGACGCTGAGTAGATGTTGGCGCAGTCGTCGCAGTGTAAGTAGTAGTAGCCGCTCCACCAAACAATGGCTGCAGGTGTTCCCTTGCTATTTGTATAGTTGGCACTTGTTGTTGGATTTGCGCTGCGAGTTGGGCTGCAGCGGACTGATTAGCGTTCTGTTGTTGTTGTTGCTGTTGAAGTTGTTGCATTTGATGTTGTTGCTCGAGTGAGTTTACAGCCTGTTGAATTTCGCGCTGTGAATTCGAGTCGAGTGAAGTGATTTCCAGGACCTTAACCGCGGTTGTGTGTTGTGGTTGGGTTTGAGTGTGCAAGTGTTGTTGGTGATGGTGGTGATGGTGCAATGTTGCGGTTTCGTTTGCATTTTGCGCTTGAGATAGATCCTGTTGATGTCCATCTTTGTGATTTTCACTCTTAACAATTGTCACGACGTCTCCATTAGTTATTGCTGTGATTGTCGCCGTGGCAGTTTCATTTTGCATTTCTGCCTGCGTAGAGGAGTGGGCGCTATTTGGCTCAATTTGTTGTTCATCCTCAAATTCCATTGAGTCGTCTTCATCGAAGCCCAACGAAATCGAACGTTTCTGTTGCTTAAGTTCGGGCACAATATTAGCTATCAAGCGTTTTGGATTACCGTGATCAGCGATAAAAGCAAGTTTATCATAATACCATAAGCGCGTCTCGTAGTGTGGTCTAGCATTAATTTTTCGTAATTCTCGTCGAAAGGCTGAACGCAAAGAGTTTATTTTACGTACTACCATGCTACGGTCGGCTTTTGCAGATTCTACTTCTTTAAGCTTGATGACCAGTTTATCGTAAGCATTGTTACGTGCTGTGTTATTACTATAGTCGGGATGTTTAGGCTGCCAAAGACATTCCTCGGCCTGATACAATTCAATAAATTCGCCCAGCCAGTGGCGGGAGTAACTACGCAAATCATTCAGTTGGCTCGTCATACCCCAAAGCATTTGCGTCTTTGAATTGGCGATAGACTCATTCTCTACCAACAATTGAGGGCAAATACACAATGAATAAACACGATTCTTGTTTTTTCAAAAATTCTCTCTTCTAAGGAAAAAAATTCTTCCGTTTTATTGAATTTTTCATTATTTAACGCACAATAATTATTTACATTTTACTTAAAAACTTGCAAAATATTTTATGCCGTCCTCTTTTTGCAACAAAATTTTCACTTTAGTTTACCAGTAATAATCCAAACTACTTTGTGCATTATCCTCTACTTCTCCACATTACTTTTCTTGTCACATACTCTTGTTGTCGTTTTTAACATTTCGTGAAGAAAGCATATAAGTGAGATAATACACTTCAATTAGATCGTATTTTGCCAAACAGCTAAATATCGTAAATAACAAAACCAACACTAACTTAACTTTAAAGAATATTCAAAAATGATGCCCAAACTGCAAAGATAAGAAAACCCTTCGTTATGAAAATATTATATGCCCTTTCTTATCTTTTGCGCATTTTTAATATTTATTTATTCAAACAGAAAGTAACTCTCAAAAATTCTGTCCACGGAAGAACACATTTTTATTTATACGTTGGTTTACACATAATTTTAATGATGCTCGAAAAAAGTTGAAACATTGCTTTTTGCTCAGTTCAAGATTTTAAAATGTTCCCTGCTTTTTTACAATATTGAAGCCAAATAGTGGAGGCTTAATTATCGACAAAAATAATGGTAGCTGTAGCGGTTTCATACTACAATGCCGCTTTTGCAACGCGTCAAAAGTTAACCACGATTAACCACGACCACTATATTATTATATTCGCCCTTGCGGGCTCCAAATAAAAGTAGCCACTACCACTTTAACACAATTGACCAGAAAATTTTTCATTTAACAGATTTCAGGAGAAAGTTTGATAAAACCAAAAGAATACTTGTAAAGTCTCGTTTCTTCATAGTTTTTCATTTATATTAAAATTTTATGGAAAATGACTTTACCCACGAAAGACGAAAATAAAACATATGGAAAATTCGTGTAGAATATATTTACTAGTTAAACAAAAACAAAAAACGTTCCGAACAATCCGAGCAATGGCTGTTATCTGTTTCAATAGTTAATTTTAAATTAGTAAGAGACTAAATGGGAAGTTTTATGCATTTTAACGAGTGAGCACTCAATATAACTGCGATCAATTATGATCAAAATCGCACCAAATTTTGACACCGCGAACAATGGCTTGATAGAGCGACAGCCCTGGCAGTATTGGTATATATACATATATATATTTTAACGGCTTTAAAGCCAAAAGATTGATTGAAATTCTCTTTGGTCGTATTATATTGCTTTAGGAAATCCAAATCACTTACTTAGTTCTTGTCGTTTCATAATAACAATCTCATCAAATTATGATACATTGCTTTGTCAAAATTATTACTGGCGCCTAAACGATTTTTAATGTATATTTTCATAGATTTTTTAATCTAAAATTCCTCCGGGCATTAATCATAAAAAATACCGCACAAGGAGACAAAGTTTTTCGACATATTTTTTCATTTTTATTTTTGAGATGACATAGAAGAAAGGTATTAATAGATAAGAAAAATTGGATAAATAAATTTCCTGACAAAACCAAATTGTAGAATATCTACTATTTTTTTAGACGACCATTTAGCGTCACTCCCTAAAATTGACACTTTATATTGTCTTCTTTTGAGTACAACATAACGAATATTTCGTCCCAAAGTGCTTGTTTTCCAAAGACGAAGACGTTATGAAAACGAGTTTTTAAAATTCTATTAACGTGACAACATTTATATCGAAACTTAATTATTTGATCATCTAAAGTTCTTGAGAATTTGTTCCGCACTGTACGTAATAAAAATAAAAAACAAACAACAATTTTAAATGAAAGGAAAAACTTGTTATGGACTGTTTATTTCCCCTTGAAATGTTTTTCTTTACAAACGCCACTTAAATCTAGACTTGTCTTCAACTCAGTTAAGCTGCGCCGGCCATATTGTAGCAGCATTTTAACGGCCACTTCATCCTTTTGCTGCTGATTTGAACGGAAATCTTGACGTGCCCACATTTGCAGATCTTTGCGACTATTAACGTCAGGCACTTGACGTATGGTACGGAAAATATCTCTATAAAGTTTTAAAACTTCTTGTCTCAGCATAAACTAAAAAAGAGTTTTTTAAATATATCGACATTGAAATTTCAAACGTACAATCACTATTTTCTTACTTGCTTTAAATTTAAAGCTGCTTTATTAGCTTTTGACATCTTTTTAATTCAAACAATTTTTCTTTTCTCCTAACAGATCAGCATTTCTATAATTTTCATGTAACACTATGATAAGAGAACTGATGCAGTTTGCTGATATAAACAAAAAAATATTTATGAATACATGTGTGGCGTAAATGCATGTCAACACGGACAGCTGTTTTCAATTTCCTATATTAAGAGAAAAAAGAGTATAGTATGGTTCAAGTCGAACCAACCAAAGGCGCTACAGACAAGTTTTCCTTTCAACAAACACGATTGGCGTCAGGAGTGCTTACGTTTAAGAGGCTATACGAATACTTAAGTATCCAGCGATTTGTTTGAAAAATACAATGGATGGACATCGCGCAACCGTAATAATATTGTCTTGGGCTTACGATAAAAATTGAATGGATGGACATCGCGCAACCGTAATAATACTGTCTTGGGCTTACGATAAAAATTGAATTTTGCCGAACTTTTCAACAAGAATTTAGTGAACATATTAACATAGTAACATGTTAAAAATTAATGTACCTACAATCGTTTGGCAGAAAAAGATTATACATCAAAGAAATAAGACTACTTGTCAGAATGAATTCTTCAGGCACCTCTTATTTTAGGAGCGTAAAGTCATGTTTGAGTTTTCTTTTTTAGATTTTGCTTTGCAAAGGTACAGAACTAGCGAAGTGAAAATCAGAGGAATATTAGGACTTAGGGATTACAGGTAGCGGACGAGTATCCTACTCATTAGTGGTGAAATGCAGAAGAAGTTTCACCTGAAATGCATTATCAGAATGGGAAAACCTAGATAGGTTGGGGGGCAAGTAATTCCAGTATCGCGCCATTCGAACTAAAAAGGACCGCTCTAAGCACCTGCATCTAATTCTGCTAATGATAATCTCCGGACTCCTGGTAGATTGAGTAAAAAAGAATACGGAACATAATTGGAGCTGATGACCTTATTCAATAACTCTAAAAAAGATGTACAAGTTACAACAAAAAGCTAACTGCTTAAAGGTACATCCACGGAATCGAATTTTTCATTAAGCCAATGCCTATTGCCGTTTCCTCCTTTTTTCTCGTCTTGTACCTCCATTTCTCACACTTTAACGGAATCGGCCCCCAATTCTCATACTTTGACAGAATCGAAACGGTGCAATTTACTGGAAGCAACTCTGCGCTATCTCCATTCTCCACACATGGTACTTTTTTTATAAACCATGTGAAGGAAAAAACCAGCCGAAAAACTAAAGCCATTTTAGAAGTTTAGAAGAAAGCCAGTTAGAAGTTATGATCCCAGGTCATTTTTTATGTACGGATCGTACAATATTTGTCAATTGGCGCGAGGACCCCTTTGCCAATTTTTATTCTCATCTGAATACAACATGTGTAATAAAGTAATAAATGGTCAACATTTCTATATCGTTCTGCCAGACTAATATAAATCGAATTCTTTACTGAGCCTCTTCTTATTGTCCAAGACTTGGCACAGTCTGAAAGTATAATATTAGGAAGTTTTTTGGCAGTTAGGCCAACAATTTCTAACATTCTTATTATTATTAATTAACAACAAACAAGAAAGTAATTGAAGTTTTAAGGCAGTAAGGAAAAGCAAGACAAAATTTAGACACTTCTTGAGCTCAATGCTCTAGTACATATCGGTATTCCAATGAATGATGATCATATTACGAACCGCAAGTGATCAATGAAATGTCTGCTTGCACAGACGTATCTTTTAAGTTTTGAATTCAATGCTTGTAGGGTGTTAGGTTGCAAAAGCGATTTCCCGAGCCACGTGGTGACATGACTAACCTATCCAACTACTCAACCCCGACCTCAAGTCTAAGCATCTTCTGTGGCGTTCAAGCATGGTGATTACGAACAAGCAACTTCACCTACAAAACAAAACATTGGAGAGTCAGGAGAAAGTTGTGGCATTTTTATGTAAATTCTTTACTCAATTACCTCTAAAAAATTGTTTTTTGCCCTGGTTCCAATTGTTCCGGATTTCCCATGCATAACAGCGACAACTTATGAAAGATTGAGCAATAACTTTTTCACCAGATGTATTAAAAAAATGTAATAGTAAGTGTGTAAAGACCAATACCTCGTTCTTATCGTTCGCGACATATTCGTATTCAAAATATAGCATGAGGGCGCCAAGTGCGCATTTTTGGTCACGTTCTCATGTAAAAATCAATATTTTCGTAATTAAAAACTTATAGGTGGGTAGGGCGACAAGATAGCCGACTCTACCCTCAGATAATTTTATTCTCTCTTAAAATTTTGCTACGATCATAATATTTAGCACTTTTTATGTCACTATACTTTTTTCAAAAGCCTTGCATTTTTTTTTTTTTATAAAATACAAAACAAAATATTTCAATTTCCAGTTTTAAAATCCATTAAAATCCATTTATCTTTCACATTAATAAAATATTCCTTTTATGATAGACTTTAATATAAAATAAATATAGCTTATACATATGTACACTAAATTTAGTTGAAATTTCACTTAACTAACCTGATTGCAACCAATTACTACTAAGCAAGATGGGAATTCACACTTAAATTATCTAATTGTCCATTAAAAAGTACATCACTAATCAATTTCTCAGCTATTATGCGTTGATGGGTACTCATTAGACGCAATTTGCTGGCCACATTCATACCGATCCCATCGTATTCATCATGCGGACGTTGAGTATTTGTCGGCGCTGTCGTGGTATATGTTGTGGCTGCACTTCCGAAAAACGGTTGCAGGTGTTCCCGGGCAATTTGTATAGTTGGCACTTGCTGATGGATTTGTGCTGCAAGTTGAGCTGCAGCGGATTGATTAGCATTTTGTTGTTGTTGTTGCTGCTGAAGCTGTTGCATTTGATGTTGCTGTTCGAATGAGTTTACAGCCTGTTGAATTTCGCGCTGCGAATTCGAGTCGAGCGAAGTGATTTCCAGCACCTTCACTGCAGTTGTATGTTGTGGTTGGGTTTGAGCATGCAATTCTTGGTGGTGATGCTGCTGCTGATGATGATGGTGATGATGGTGCAGGGTTGTGGTCTCATTCTGCGCTTGGGTTATATCCTGCTGATGTTCATTTGTTTGTTGCTTATGATCTTCACTTTTAACAATCGTTACCATATCACCGTTCACGGCAGTTATGGTAGTAGTAGCGGTTTCATTTTGCATTTCCGCCTGTGTAGCGGAATGAGCGCTATTTGTCTCGATTTGATGTTCATCCTCATATTCCATTGAGTCGTCATCCTCGAACCCCAATGATATCGAACGTTTTTGCGGCTTATATTCATCTACAACATTTGATATTAAACGTTTTGGATTGCCGTGTTCAGCTATAAAAGAAAGTTTGTCGTAATACCACAACCGCGTTTCATAGTTAGGTCTGGCATTAATTTTTCTTAGTTCTCGTCGAAAGGCTGAACGCAACGAATTTATTTTACGTATCACCAAGTTTCTGTCGGGCTTCGGTTCAACCTCTGTTAATTTTACCCTTAGTTTTTCGTAAGCGGTGTTGCGAACCGAATTATTACTGTAGTCTGGATGTTTAGGCTGCCATAAACATTCTTCAGCTTTGTACATCTCAATAAAATCGGCTAACCATAGGCGGGAATAACTACGTAAATCATTTAATTGGTTGGCCATAGTTCATATGTTTTACTTTCTTGCATATAAAGTTGTTGCAATATTATTATTTGATATATTCACCACTATACATTTAATACCACGACTATTAAAGTAAATATAAGCGTTCTGTTTGCCTTTATACGATAAGAACGATTCATTTAGCTGACTTTTTTTATAAAAGCACTTTTATATGTACACTCAATACTTTCTTTGAATGTTTTGTATGTCGCTACATTTTCACCTAAATATTTCATAAATTGCTTTTATTTTATTGATACTTTAAAGTTTTTAATATTTTCATCTATAAAACAATTATATTCTACTTTTGCTAGTAAAAACCTAGTTCGGCAACAACTCAAACACGTTCGCGACCATTTTGGATTATTTTTCTACACATTAAATATGTTGTATAGGACTTGGCAGCACTCTATAAGACATTGTATAGAATAAAGATAATGGTGAATTGCATCAGAGGTGGTGGATGTTTTCAACCTTAAGTTACAATAAAAGGATTCAATAAATAGCTTTTAGCATATTAGCAACTCAAACAAGACGTCAAATCATATATAAAGGAAGAAATATATTTTTTATTACAATATGTGAAGAAACTCAGCTCGATCAAACCTAAATAGTGCATCTCTCGTAATTTTGGCTACGAAAGCTACAAACACATTCTATGTGCAAACATTTTTTTGGATTCGTAACTTTAGTTAAAGATAACATTTAAGTTTCATATCATTCATTGCATATGTTTTGTGACATTTGTTACAACATTATACTTACCTCTTAAAATTTGTTTTCCTTAATTTCCTTTTGTTGTGCACAATGCAGGATTAAGACGAAAGTATTGGCGGATGCAAATCAAAAATTTGTGTACTTAATTTCTCAATTAATGGAAGAAGACAATAATAGCAACTGAATCGTTTCTTTAGTATAAAATTTGCGTCGTGTGACAAAAATAGGATGTGGGACTTATTAGGCGTGTCGTTTGCTATTGATTGCAAGATTTTTTTCTTTTTCGTATATAACGAGTCGCTCCTAAGGGGATATTTAGGCAAGGGTATATAATGTACCCATGGCTAAAGAGCTAAGTAAAAAAATTCCAACCAATCGTCGTCCATGTGGAAAATCAAGGAATTGTATAAAAATAAATGCTCAAATCGAAAACTAGCTGCTACGCCCCGAAAATTGAAGAGATACTTGTACTGACAGTGATCTTCTAAAGATACTTCTTTAGCAGGATCCGCATCCAAAGTATCTAATTGATTTCCACGCTTGATTTTTCGTATATTGAACATCGACCAAGTGGGGTTTCTTTGTTGAAAGTAAAATCAGTAATTTCGCTGCAAGCCGTTAGCTGCTTTTTTCTTCTACATCGTGCATAAAAATATTTGTTGAGAATGGAGAGAGCATAGAGTTGCTTTCAGTAAATATCCTCGGAAATTCTATTAAATGCAAATACCCTCGGAAATTCTGTTAAGTGATAAAAATATCCGCGGAAATTCTGTTAATCGGAAATAAACCGACAATTCTTGAAAAAAACAGCTGTAACGGAATTCTTGAAAATACTGCTTTCAATTCGGCATTAAATGTTAATGGCACTTGCGGCCAACCCCTCGTATTAATCACAAAGTCCATGTCAGGTAATTCAGGTAATAACTTGAGAATGAAATGTTGAATACCTTCACATCTCGAAGCAAACATGCAATTTGATTCTCTGTAAAGTCTGCGGTTATAAATTTTACAGCGTCTACCATATTTAGCTGCTTCGTCTAGCGTATTGTGAGTTATACCATTTTTTTGGAAATTGCCTAAATCGCTGTCAATTACATTTTGATGGCAAACGCTTTCAACATCTTTCGGATCAGTGGAACAAGGTGAGTGCGATTTGCGGGCTTTCTCAATTTCTTGTATGATTATATTGAATGTAATTTCTGAAGTTCTAGAAGAAATCATTCAAGGAAATAATTTTTTAGTTTAAACTTGCCTTCTTTATAATTACTGGACTTGCCCATTTGACATTCGTCTTTTGCTATAAATACACCGTCATCACTGTCGCTGATATTCTGTAAAGTCCTTAAATTTTTACTTAAAATTAAAAGGAACATTAAAAATAATTGGAATGTTTGCATTATTTGTGAACAAAGTTTATTTCGTATTTAAAAAGATAAAAATTTTATTAAGATTGAGTGATGTCAACTTAAATCATTTTTTTTATACAAAAGGAAAAAGAAAACTTAATATCGTATTTCATTCATAATTGCATCATAAACTCACAAAATTTCATATTTTCAATTTTCTCCAAGTTAGGAAATTAACTACACTATGAATTTTCAAAGATATTTTCTTTTCTTATTTAAATTTTTTGTTTGCTGATTGCTTATAGTATCTATTGTTGTGTATTTAGAATTAAAATGATTAGTTAGGTTATCAATTAGCAGTGTGTGCAGTTTGCTTTAATCAGTTCAATAAGCATCGCGTCTAAAAAATAGTATTTTGTAAGAAAAATGAGTTTTCGTTAAAGTTACAAACTAGTAACCAAGCAACCCATACGTTGGTTTCCCGGTCATATTATTCGAAGGATGCTTTTCGCTTCTTCCACGTCTATTGCATTCCTTTTTTAAATACTACGTTAAATGCTCTGTGCGTGGTCCTTTTTTGGTAGGACGATTGTTCAATGTTCGTTGTCTATTATTATTATAGTATATAATTAAATTATAATAATAAATCAATTATATAAATAACTAAGGTAAAATAAAGAAGATTTTTGATCACAATTTATGCAAGTGTGGTCAGTAGTCATTATAAATAACTATTTGGTTGCGTGTCGGTTTATTTTCAATTTATAAACAACCATTTGGTTGCGTGTCGGTTTATTTTCAATATGTAAACAACTATTTGGTTGCATGTCGGTTTATTTTCAATATGTAAACAACCATTTGCGAGATATTATATAGAATTCAATTATGAATTTGAAAGGTTTACAATTTCACAGCTTATTGCCAAAAGATAAACTTGTGCCTTTTTCCCCATTTCTTCCATTCTTCCAACATAGTGCTTCTTATTTGCCTGCTAATAGTTTAGCCACATATTTCAATAGTTAGTCTATAAGATTTAGCATGTAGTTTTAGTTATTATAAATTTTGAAATTTAAATTAAATAATGTAAAAAATGTAAAATTATCAGATCAATGAATTAAAAAAAATGATCGTTGTTTCACGGTCGATTATGTCCTTAAAGTTAAACTATTTATATTTAACTTAGTAACAATAATAAATACTATATTTATATTTAATTTTATTTATTTCGTATATGTTTAGGTTAAAATATGACAAATTTTAACGAAAGTTTCACGATGTCCTCTCCCGACATTTTCGGGACTACCCGAAGTTGTGGCGTCCGGCCACATTATTGTGCTTCTGCTTTTTCATGCAGCCATCGGCCATACTTGATTTTATAGCTTGAGGATCTAAATTTTCTTTGTTTTCCAAAATCATATGTTCCATCGAGTTAAGATTTCCTATACCATGAAATTGTTCCATGCATCCAGTATCGGTTAAAAATGTTGTTTATAAATTAAAAATAAACCAGGGCGCAACCAAATGGTTGTTTATAAATTGATAAATGAGAAATCAATGAAAAAAAAGATGAGAAATTAATTGACTAATAAATGCAGATATTGAAAATACTAATAGTAATTGCTAGTACTTTGTGATGGGGTAATAATTTAAGGTACAAGTTTATCATATGAAGTTTGGCCAACATAGACTTAATTTCCAGAAACCTTTCCGTATAAGAGTTCTCATAACGATTAAGCCTTTGAATGGGAAGGTCTAATTTTTTATTAATTTATGACGAAAATAAATGAAGAATAGTTAGTTTCGGGTCACCTTTGGTCGCATTTTCGGCTCTCTCTCACATAGAAGTTCTCATCAAGAATAAGAAGTTTTGGTTTATCGAAATTTGGATATTGTAATATGGGTGGGGACAATAGTTTGTTTTTGATTTCTAGAAATGCCTGATTACATTGGTTTGTCCAGTCGAAGTCTTTTCCTTTTTTAAGGTCGTTTAGTGGTCGTGCTATGTTAGCAAAGTTTTTTATAAATTTCCTGTAATAGTTGCAAAATGCTACAAATCTTCTTACTTCGTCTGAATTTTTGGGTTGGGGGTAGCTTTTTATTGTTTCGTACTTATCGGAATTTGGTTTTATGCCTTCGGGTGTTATTAGGTGTCCTAAATAGGTTACTTCTGGTTGTAGGAAGTCGCATTTGGATGGATTTAGTTTTAGGTTGTATTTGTTAAGTCGTTTTGTACTTCCGTTAAATTTCTGTTGTGATGTTCGAAGCTACATCCGTGTATTATTATGTCGTCTACGTATAAAAATGCTGCGGTGTCTAGTCCTGATAAAGCTATGGTTAGCATTCTTTGAATACTGTTGGACGAAATTTTAGTGCGAATGGAAGTCTCGTGTACTGACTTGGAATCGTTGTTCATCATATCGAGTGTGTATATTGATGTTTTGTATAATTTGGTAGGTATGGAGTGGTTCGGTGTTGATATGTAGATGTTGTATTGTGATTTCTTTATCTAGTGTATTTAATATTTTAATGTGTTTTCGTCCGTTTTTTGGTCAGGAAAGTTCGTGGGGAGAGAAAAATGGAAGGAGAAAATAATGTTTATGTAAGTTTGATTTAAACGTGGAAGCAACAGAGACGGCGGGGGAGACCCTTGCTGCTCGATTTTGCTGATGTCAGGCACCTTACGCACCTGTTATATATTCAGACTAAGTCAAAAGTATATAATTTTTCATGGCATTCTTTGGAATAGGAAAAAAATTGGTACAAAAGCATATAATTTCGATCTTTTTCTTGGTTTATTAATGTAAATTTTTATTTCCTAGAAAACTTTCTACGTTCAAATTACTTTTTATTTGCACGATTTGTATGTTGTTTTTGTTTTTTTAGATAGGAAAAACTGTATTTGCTCGTTTTAGCCATCTTTAGCTGCGTCGTTTGGCGTATTGCGCGATACACCATTTTTTTGGAAAAGGTCTTAATCACTATCAATTACAATTTTTTCTCTCACTTTAACAGATCTGAGAAAAAAATTTTACATTTCGCATTTAACATCTTCCGAAACAGTAGAAAGGTCTTCCTTACATGCCAGATGCTTATTTGCTTATTAATTTCATAACTTCTTGCAAATATCCGCTTAAACATTTACACAATATTGAAATAGTAGTAAAACAAATTAGCAATAAATTTATAAATTATTAACATATTAAAAACAATCAGTGAAAAGGTTTTAACTTCTGGTTCGATTTTGTGATTACCTGTGACTCCTGTTTAATTTAAGTTGTTCCAAGGATGGGAGCCTAAGGCATTAAGAAATATGTTTTACGAGATTACTTGTTTTATTTTCCTAAATTATTAATTTGCTTTCAATATTTACAATATTTTGTGCAAGTACAAAAATGTATGATTGCTTCCTAAAAACTACAACTTACGCTGAATAAATACATATTTTATTGTAGTTGCTGTGCCGTCATCATTAACATTTTTTTATTTTTTTATTACTCGAAGATGTGATATATCTATATATCTATGTTTAGTCGGTACCAAAATATTTTTGGCCAAAATGATTCGGAGCAACAGGATGCAATTCCGACGTTAATATTTTTAATTTTGGAAAAGCAGTAACTACTGTTTTAGCAGCAATTGGAGTGCAAAAAAGATTCGATAAAATTATACTACTTTCAGGTACTCCATGTTCTTTTAGCACATTGACGGCCTTTAAATTAACGAAAAAAAGAAAGAAAAAGCACATTAGGGTACTAATGTTTGTTAACGTTAGACTTGCCTGTAATACGGTATTTCCGGTGCTCATGATAGGATACATAAGTAGCACTTGACGGCGTGCAATATCATCAGGAAAGCGTGCGTAAACAACACGTGCGACATGGGTATCCGAATCTGATTCTACTAAAATCTTACCAATACGTATGGAACGACAACAATCTCTAAGACCCTGTTCCATTGCCTCGCCAGAACGTATGATTGAAACTCCGCAATTGCCAGAACGATATTTCAGACCTTCATAAATTGCACCTGTAGGTGTTTCCACAGAACAATCTGAATATGGCAATTGGTTTAACGATTCTTCAATTACCAAACGTATTAAGCGATCGGCATAGAATTTGAAATCGCTACGAGTAGTATTTCTAAAGTGAAAAAAAGAACCGATATCGCATATTCCGGAAATAAATCAATTTTAACATACTTATCGCGTATTATCGTCAGGAGTTCGGCTACTTGGGAATTACATTCTAAAATTTTAAAATTTGCTCCATAATTTTCTAAAATTTCCTCGGCGGATGTTATTGCCGGTATGGGCGAATTAGGCCTGAAATGAATAAACAGACATATACAACCACACAAAACAAAAAATTTGTTCTCTTTACCTGCTGACACTGTTTTCATTAGCATCATTGCTTTCGGAATTTGAATTGGATGAGTTCTCTTGGGACGCACACATTTGCTTAATATTTAAAAAAGCCGAGCAAATAATTAAATATTTTTTAATTACTTTAAGTACGTTTAAGTACGTAGCCTAAGCCAGAGATGATTACTTAAAAAAGCGATAAAATACTTTCTTCTTTTCTTTTGTTATCTCATTATTCTAAAATAGGATGGCCAACTTTTATTATCTGTCTTACTTTTCGTAATACCTTAAAATTAGAGTTGCCAAGTTTAACGATAAGTAAATGTCTTCTTATCAGTCTACTTGTTTATTTGTTTTTTTTTGTTTACGTTCTGTAAAACGCCACTGAAACGAGAATAAGAGAGCAAATCATTATAAAAAATTATAAAGATATATGAAAAACTTATGGCATCTTATCGGTTCGGATTGTCGCTGGCTAAGTAACTTTTTAATGAGTGTAAAAGAAAACGTTGTTAATAGGATATAATAAACAAATACATGGCTGGGTGTTTGAAGATCTACCTGAATCGAGTATTTTCGTATCTTGATAAAGAGTAAACTTTTGTGTGTGTGATATATTGAAATAAGAAAATTACTCAATTTTTCTTGTCATTTTAATATTACGAATAGAACAGTAAAGTCGAGTTGTGGAAAGATTTAAGAAAATAATATCAAATAAATAGAAAAATGTGAACGATATATGCAGTGTAAAGCCTAAAATAAATATAAAATTAAATAAATAAGGAAGTTTTTTTTAACAAAAGATTTCTATGTAATCACATGAAAAGGTTCGAAATATGAAACAATAATAATGCGCTTTTAAAATAATATACTGAGTACGTGTGGTTGTGTGTGCAATATTTTATTATTTATCTGTACCAGCTGTTAAACGAATTTATCTGTTTATTTTCATAAATTTTTATAGAATAAATTAATTACAACAATAGTTCAAAGTCTACATACGCTAAGCAGCTAAACTCAAAGCTAAACAGGGGTTAGTGAATAAAAAGAAAAATTATTGAAAAAACTCAACACTCGCCTATTCACGTATGTTGTCTTATATAATTCGAAAAGATGAAATAGCCTTTGAATTCGAAGCAAAAAATAATAAATCGAACACCAATCGCATTCATATTATAATTAACCGTAGAAGTTTTTCCTCTATAAGGAACAATTTTCTTTATTGTTATTACGTTGAACTCTCCCCAAAAACAAAAAAAAAAAGCCATGGCATGAAAGACTAAAAGTAAGAAACAAAAACAGATAATGCATGATAAGCAATAATAAAGTCGCTTAACAATTAATAATGCACATCAAGAGGCTAATTAAAAAAGGCGTAAACATAGTTTAGAACGATTATTTAAATATTTGCATTTTCCTAGCGAATATTTCATCTTCTCTGCATATTTGATTCATTTTTTTTTTTTGGAGTTTTCCTCTTAAAAATGTAGTTATTTAATTGCAGTGTAATACAAGAATGACACACAGCAAGATTGTTTTTACATGCTCTCTAGTAATTGTGGGCTTATTATGAATTGTGCTTGACTTCGATGGTCGATTTCAGTTTCAAGCCAACACCCGTACAGAGCTTTACTTTGGTGATGCTTACCCGCACAAATAGATTGCCAAAAACTCCATCAAAATTATTGTTGCTACCCTTCTTTGTACCGCGTACGGGGATTGAAAGCAATTTGTGATAATCATATCAAAGTGAAATATAGCAGATGATGATTGGGAACTTAGTTTGTCGTTATCTTTAGCAGAACAAAAAGCTATTGAAGTAGTTACAGTGCAGAAAGGAAAAATGTTCGTGCAGAACAAAAGAAGACATGATATGAACGGCAAATCAAATGGGTGTCAATTTGCATATAAGAGATGAGCCGTAAACTATATTACAATAGCAGTAGGGATATAAATGAGGAGATCAGGTCTTATGGAAAATATACATTTTATTGCCAGCAGGCGGCTCTTAATTGACTTGCGACTGTTTGTTTTCGTCAGTATCATAAAAACGCTTGATTGTTCGGTTTCTTAGTCCGCTCCCACTTTCAATAAGAAAAGCTGATAACATCAGAATATTGCTTTCCAATACGTTTATAAGAAACACTTTTTAATACTTTGTGAAAATTTCTTTGCAAAACTAGTCCCGATTAGAAAATTTGATTGACATGCCTATTTATAAGCGCAGCAATTTCGAATTCTATTAACGATGCTGGATTTTCGTTTCAAATTACTTCTAACCAATAACAAAAGTAAACGATGGTCGGTAAAGGTAGCGTGGTTTACGTTTAGAAACGTGACATTAGAGAGTCTTTGTCAACCTAAATTTTAAATATTATGAACATAGCTTAATAGTTATGTTGCAACCAACGAAAATACGCAGTGAGCATATGCAATAATCTGTATTGCAATTTAAAGGTTTATTTTTTTTATTTTATTCAGGTAACCTTTAGAGTTATCTCTTACCGCATGAAATTCATACATGTAGAGATAATAAACATTCTCCCAGAGTGTAATTATAAATATTACAAATGTATTGACCCTGAATAATTGTCCGTAAATATTTACAATTCAGTAAAAGCGAAACCTCCTATGTACTGCAACGTGTAGAGTAATTTTATTGTCTGTTGTAATGTTAGGCTGTAAAAGGCTTTGGTTCCATTCGTTCTAAAATTTCTAGTATTATCTAATGGCATTATGTACAACACAGGGTAAATACTAAATTGTAATATTTTCATAAAAAATCGTACGGGAGGATTACTTATTTATTATCCCGTCGCGGAAACATTTGCAACGCCCAGAAGCCAGCATCAGAGACTGCACTAAATATATTCTTGACCAGAAACGATGGCGATTAAGATATCGCCTACAAATTTGCAAAAGAATTAGAAAATAACGTAAACCGGTCAAAGTACACGCCTACAACGCCCACACCTGTATGCTGCAAAAACTATGAATACCTTTGCTTCTTGCTTGTTACTCATAAAGTGCAATACATGCACCATAGAAATTCTCATTCGTATTCTAAAAATACGAATAACCCGTCGCGCCCATCCAATATTTATGAAAATTTTCTTCTTTTCTTTCGTTTCACTCTTTTTTTAGGATAACGGTGACGGATATAAAAGACTACCGAATATAATATTCTTACTTGTTTTAGTTATTGCTAAATATTATTCTCTACTTTGTTAATGCACGTAAGAATAAATAGAAACAAGTAAAAACGTTATAGTAGGTTACAACCGACCATTTAATACCCTACTCTACCCACAATTATTTATATAATGAATTGTCAAAATAAGGTTTTAGGAGAGAAATGATAGAAAAAGTGGTCCGATTCGAAGCAACTTCAGTAGCGTTCGTTCTTGGACCAAAACACGTTTGCATACCAAAATTTATATGGATTAGAACATGCCGATATGCCAAATTTTAATTAAAATATTTTAATGATATGCGACCTGTAGGTTGGTCACAAGAAAACTAAACTAAAACGAAGATAAGCTTAGATTGATTCGAAAACTGATCTCAAATCACAAGTCCGCCCATGAACTTAATATAGCTTTGCACCACAAATTCTGTTGCTTATAACCATAAACCATAAACTTAATCCATGTCTTCTTATTTCTTAGACGCTTTGCTACATCGATCCGTTTAAAGAGTGTGCAACAATTTTAAAATATCAAATTGGGCAGAATCGTAATCTCAGCGGTAGTTGCCGTTTGTGAAGAAATATTTTTCAAAGCGTTTGACTCCACGCTAAACAATTCTGTCGACTGCGTAGTAACTAAATATTGGGTAAAAATCAATCGAACATCTTGCGTTTAATTTCGAGTAATCTGCGATGCATCATAGGACCGTTGCACGCCGATTTAAAAATTTCCTTTGGCTGGAGTAGTAAGTTCGGCTCTTTTTCTTCTTCACATTAACGTACACGTAGTAATCACATACTTCCTATTAGAATATCTCTCGTGGAAATTTCCAACCGGATAAGAAAATGTCAATCCATATGGCTGATATCGTTTTACATAGCACTGAAGTAATTTTTCAGCTAATGCAAATCTAACTTTAAAAAACTTTGGACTTTTTCAAACAAAAGTTATGAATGAAATTCACTTTGGCTATATTCAAGCGGGTTTGACTGTAATAGCTGAGAGTAATGTATGCGATATGATAGCGAGTAAGCACAACTTTCTCTTTTGTTTATATTTACTCTTCTCATTCTGTCTTTAAAAGTACTATTGAAACCGCTTAATGATACACTTCACTAATCTACACACTATTTTGATTTAAGTATTTTTAGAAGAAAATGTAATCAAAACGTGTTTGTTTATGCATTATATTTATTTACATTACTCGTCTTTTTGCAAGCCGGTGTCGATTACATGCTCTCAGTGCATGAATACATGTGCATAAGCGTGTATATTTGTAGGTGTAGTGAAGTGTGATGATTCCATGTCAAAAATATTTCAATAAATTACGAAGTTACCCTACACCGTTTGTGCTGCACGGCTACGTTAAGTTTAAGCGGATGTATCCACCATGTACAGAAGGACTTGAGACAGACCCACCTATAATTTTTCCGATTCAAATCTAGTTCTGATTCAAATACACTTCTTGAATCGATGTAAGTTTGTCTGTCCTTCTGCCCGTCTTGTTTTTTTTGTGACCAACCCATAGGCGGCAAATTTTTGAGATATTTTAACGAAATTA